TTCTTATTTATTGTTATTTTCTTCTGTTTCTTTGTTTTTCATGAAAATAAAATTGAATAATATTAATAACATTAGATATTGTTTATTAAACATGTTTTAGTTGTACAATGTCATATAATTGTTTTAGTATTATTTAAATATTTTATTCTTATTCAATTTATTAACTTTATCAACTTTTATTTCTATTTTACTTGAAATAATATGTCTTTCAAATATTCATGTTTGATTTGAGTCTATTCATTATTTCTCTTTCGTTCATATTTATCACTTTCTTTATATTCATTATTATCATTAAAGAGTAACTCATTATTGTTGTTTAACATTTGATGGTATTTCTTTTTATTTTATCTTGAAATGTATAATTTTCATTTCTAACACAATATAATAACAAATAAAATAGTATGTCATTCATACTTCATTTTGAAAATGATTATTCACTGCCATTAAATGATTATTATAAATTTATAATGAATAGTATGTTAAATATCATTGGAATGTTAACTGAAATATTCATCATTAATGTTTTGTTTTTGTTATTTTCTTTCATTTCATATTAATTAAACATTAAAATTCTTTTTTCTTATACATTTTTATTATATCTTTTGTTTTATTCGCATTTCTTTTTATTTTGATTATTTATTGTATTTTAAGTTATGAATTATTCAATTGGAATGTATATGTAATTGTTTATTATTCTTCTTTATCATGTTATATTCATTTAGTAATATTTATGTTGAATTATAATGATATTAACCTATATTCTTATTTCTTTTGTGTTTATTATCTTTTTATTATTTATGTTTTATCAATTTTACTATCAATTTTATTTCTTTTATTACTCTCTCTTCTTATTTCTTTTTATCTTTTATTTCTTCCTTATTCTCTTTCTTCTTCTTATTTTATTATCTCCTTTATTTCTTTTCTATTTATTATTTCTTATTGGTGTTTTGTTCCAATACATTTCTCTTTCTCCTCATTATATTCTTGATTAGATTCTTTGAGAATATATGATTGTGTGTATCTCTCTTTTCTTCTTTTTGCCTTGTCATTTTTGTTTTCTATTTACCAGTTCTTTCATTATAAGTTGTTTAAATGTTGAATAAATACCATAATGAGAGTGATTCATAAGTGATAATGCCTACATTCTTATGTAGTTTGTAAATATGGTTTGGGTGGTTCATTTGTCATTTAAACATCTCATCATCACCACAATCTCATCAATTCAAACAGTTAAATTTTTTGCAACCAACACAAAGAGTATTGTAAAAAAGAATGTCAAGAGGAAGAATGTTGTTGTCCAAGAATGAAAGCATTTAAGAAACTTATAAACACATTTGAAAAGAAGCATCAGAAATTAAAGTACTAGTATATTGTCCATGTGGTTCAATTAAAGATATTGATATTAATGAATATGGATGAAAATATTTTGTATTATAGTTTTATCAATTGGATTGGATTTGTTCGTCAAACAGAAATTATTGGATATAGTGAACTTGCAAGACAATTGAAAGAAATCAATTGTGAGGTTATTAAATCAAGTGTAAATTCTGTTTATTGTTATCAGGAATGATGTGAATCAGATAAAAGTAAATGATGAATAGGAAAGTTGACATTCCCATTAGTATCAGATATTAAGAGATGCACTTCTATCAAAATATGGAATGTTAAATGTAGAATTATGCACTTCAAGAAGAGGATGTATCATCATTGATGATAAAAGAAAAGTAAGATACATTCAAATGAATGATGATTGAATCTGAAGATCAACAGAAGAAACAAATAGAATAATCAAAGCAATTCAATTTAATGAAAAACATCGAGCAGTTTGTTCACTCAATTGGAAAACAGAAAATACAGAATTGAACTAACACCAGATTGAATTAAGAAATATTTAACAACACATTAAAATAAATAAGATAATTTAATATAAAGTATTTTATAATTAGAAGAAAATGATAATAAATATAATATTTTAATAAAGAATTTAAATGAAAAACAATAGAAAAATAAAATAATAATAAAGTAATAAAAATTAAGTATAATAGAAATAAAGAATAAAGAATATTTCAAATATTATAAAAATTAATTAATGAAATGATATTATATAATTAATAAAATTATTATCATTTATTTTATATTTAATTTGAATTATTATTTAATTATATTCATATTTATTCTTCGATTCTTTCTTTTTAATTTAATATTTATATCATTTTATATTATATCCATTCATTTTTCTTTTTTTTTTTTTGATATTTTTATTTCTTATTTCTTTTCTTTATTATTCTCTTTATTTATTATTAAAATATTTATATCTATTCTTATTCTTTTCAATTTTTATTTTATTTCTATTATTTATTTTTTAGATACATTCTATTTATTCTTTATTTCTTGTTACTTTTACTCCTTCTTAATATTTTCTTCTTCTGTTTTTCTTATATATTTCTTTATTATATTTCTTTATTTATTTCATTTCTTCTTTATTTATTATCTTTTCTTTTGAATTATTGAAATTATTTCATCATTCTTGTTTCTTATTATCTTTTGTTTTTATATATTATTTTATGTTAATCATTTCTTATTTATTCATTTTTTATTAAAAACATTATATTATTACTTATTTATTATAATTAAACTTTATTTGTTAATTTATTTATCAATTGTTTATAAATGAGTAAATTAACATATATTTTATCATTGTATTTATAATTTTCTATTCTTTGTTATTTTATGTTTATATTATCTCCATTGAAGTAAAACATACCCCAAAAATAACATAATATCAACAATTGGCGTGTTTGAATTTTAATCCAAAAATATTGATAATAATTAATATTTCATCAAATAGTAATTTCTAATAAGACTAAATAATTATTTGTTCATGTTATTACTCTTTATTCATATTCTTGTTTTATTCATTTGATTCATTTTATGATAAATTCAGATTATGAACTAAAATAATGTGAATAACCAATAACTGATAAATAATGATGCATATATTTTAAAATAATAATGGTTTGAATTGTGAATTGAAATTATTATTCATTTTATTATTATTTATGATTTATATATTAAATTTATTATTTATTTAATTTATTGGTTGAACTTCAAAAAATGAATTGAATTTTAATTTAATATTTCACTCTATTTATTGTTGAATTTCAAAATACAATAATATAATAATGCGATGAAATGTAGAATGAAATAATTGATTCATTATAAAATCAAATGCAAATACATGATAATAATAGAAAAAGGAGAGAGTCTATTTAAAGAGAAAAACGAAGAACTAAAATACATTTCATTCAATGATTATATTTATATTGATTTTTATAATTACAAGTTGAACAGAAGTATTGAAAATCAAAAATACAGAATACAGAAGTAATATACACACAAATAAAATTAACATAAAAGATTGGGCAAATTGTATAAAGTAGAATTAAAAAGTGAAGATGTAATACACTGGAAGTAACTGAAGGAGTAGAAAAGTAAAAGAAGAAAAAGAAACAACAGATATTCAACCCCACTTCAAGAAACATCAGAAAAAACACAAGCAAACTAAGAGAAACACAACACACATTCACAACCACTGACTGAAACATCTACAAAAGAGAAAATTCAAATACAAAGCAAATACTTCACCAAACAGAACTGAAATACACACACATGAAGTAAAATTAAATTTTAGAGAAAAACACGAGGGATAATACATGAAAGAAAAGTCCAACGAAGTCAAAGCGATATAAATCATAAAGGTCAAGAACAAGCCACTAAAGAAAAAGGGAGTAGTACTATTCAGAAAAAAGAAGAGATGAAGAAGAACAAAGTCTAAGCAGAAAAGTCAACAAGCACAAAACATTACTAAACTAGAATAAGCAAAAGAAAAAATAAGAAAGACTCTAGAGCAGGAAATTTAGGTACAAATAACCCACAGAAAATATTGAGAAACATAAATGAAAATGATAAAAAGAAAGATGTGGACAAAACCAAAATGGTGAAGTTACAGAAAACACAGGAAAACAAAGCAAAAGGAAGAAACACTGCAACAAAAAGAAATACTCCAACTAATACTTCAGATAGTAACACCCCTAATAAAACAAGTGATGACTCTAATAAATATATTCATCTTAATGATTTATCTTATGGGATTATTATTCTTTCTCTTATTATTACATTTGCATATTCTAATTGGTTAGTTTAATCCATTCTTTAATTTTTAATCACATTTAATAATCTTGGAAATAAAAGAAGTAAACTGTATTTTACTTCAAATACACTTTTAACATTTACATTATTTCTCAATTAAAACAACCAACTTATTATAAATGATTAGATGAACATTTCTGTTATTAAAGAATATCCGAGACATGAATGTAACCCATCAAAAATACAACAAACATTAAAATAAATCCATACATCACATCCTCAACTATAGTCTTGTTATATTCTTGACTTTGTTAGAAAACATCTTCCTCTATTCTTTAAGAATGACAAAGATGATTATTTATGATCTTGGAACATCATTTATTATAATAGAAGAATGTGTATTTATAAAGACAGTAGTTTATTTACTTGTTATGATATAAGTCTAATTGTTAATATGGTATTCTCAAAGAAAAATATTCATGTTGTTGATAATAAAAGAAAGTTAGTCATAATAATAATGTAGGAATAATATGTTCTTTCTTCTTAAAACAAGAAAGTAAAGATAATTAATGTTCTTTAAAATTAAGGCAAAAAATCAGAAAGAAATGTAAATGTTGAGTATTTAAGTTAAAGATATTTAAATAGACTTTACGCTAGAATAAATAAAGAAATATATTTTCTTGCTTCTCAAAAGATTATAAACTAATGAATAAATAAATAATCATTAAATAAAATTTCTTCAATTCATGGTGGGACTATTCTCCAATATGTAAGGAACATTAGAAATTAAATCTAATCCCTTTTAATTAACTCTTTTTTTATTTACGTTTTAATTCTTTTTATTTTATTATTTATATGCAGTTTTCTTCCATTGCCATAAATCCCCATCCTAACTCAATTTCTTTTTTATTTATTTCTTCTATTTGATTCATTTCTTCTATTCCCATTTCAATACATTTTTCCATATTTATCTTTACTCCTTCTTTTTCACATTCTTCAATATTTCTAAACATATGTTTTTTATTTGCCGTTTTTTTACTTTTTATTAATCGAAATTGATACCCTTTTCCTTCTAATATTTCTTTCATTATTTCCATTTTCCCATTTTGTATCGTTAATTCATAAAATCTTATATCAATTCCTTTTGGTATATATTTTTTCGCTTCTTCTTCAATATTTCTTCCCTCATATATCACTTTTTCTAAATAAACTTTTGGATATTGGTGCTTCTTTTTACTCATTCTTTTGGATGTTCTTATTGAACATTTATATCCATTCATTCGCCACAATGCAACCATAAATAATATCGTTCTATTCATCCTTTCATTCGTTTCTTCTCTATGCTGTTGATTTCTTTTTCTTTTCATTTCCTCATTCATCCTTCTATTCGCGATACTTTCGATCTTTTTTTGAGTTCTTTTTATTCTCATTGTTATTTTGCATCATTCTTGCCATTTCTTCTTCTTTTTTTCTTTTTTTCTTATTTTAGTCTTCTTTATATCTTCTTTTCTTGTTCGTGCTTTTCTTCATTTATTGTTTATTCTTTGAACATCTTCTTCATATTTTATGTAGTATTTGTTTATCCCTTTTTATTTATGTTTATTTTCATGTTGTTATTGTTGATAGTCGTGGTATTTTAGCGTAATTCGTTGTTATTTCACTTGTGTTATGATCGTGATGTTATTATTTTTGTAATTTTATTGTTACAACTATTTTGTTTGATGACTTCTTTACTCAGATGGCTTTGTGAAGCATCTAATGCTTTTTCATTGGGGTGGTGGTGTTATGTTCATTCCGTATTAAAGTAAATATTATTGTTGGGTTGTTCAACCCCCCTAAAAAATTATCCTTTTTGGTGGTAGATTGTTCTTTATGATTGTGTTATTTATTGGCTAATAACATTTTATTCTCTCGATATTGTTTTGACACTTTTTATTGTTCGGTTAATTAAAAAATGAAGGTTGTTGGGCATAACTATCATACTGTGCTTTGTTGAAATTAACTCCTTTGTTTGAAAAGGCAACGAAAAAAAGCAAATAATTGAAAAAGAAGAGAATGAATGATATAAAAGAATAAAAAGAAAGTAAAAAGTAGATGAAGATGAAGAAAGAATAAAAGTAGAAAGGAGAGATTATAAAAAGAAAGAAGATAAAGTGTAATAAAACAAAAGAGATATTAAAAGAAGAAAAGAAAGAAAAAAGATGCAAATTTTATTGAAACAAATAAAAAAAGTGCAAAATTTAATGATGCAAAATTTAATGATGCAAAATATTTAGCAACATATTTTATTGATGCAAAATATTTTGAAATAAAAATAAATCATCATTTGATATTATTATATTTGATAATAAATTATATTATATATTAAATACATCATATTTCTTTATTATTTATCTTTCTTTTCTTTTTATCATTTCATATATTAAATTATTATTCATTCATTTATTATTTATATTTCATTTATTAAATAAAATGAAAATGAAAATGTAAAATATCAATTAAATATTCATGAATAATAATTTATTAATATTTAATAATTGAAATAACAAATAATAATGTAACAATAATGATATATTCAATATATTCTTTATTTGATTTGTTCAATATTAGATTATTCTATTTCATTATCATTTCATTGTCTTCATTATTTTATTTCATTATTTCATATTCATTTATTATTTTTTAAAATCAAATAAACAATAATATTGATATTTATTCATCATATTCATTTAATATAATAAATATAAACAACATTTCACAATAAATAATGAATAATTAACATTGAAAATATTGATTATATTCGATAATTTATTCAACACAAAATCAATAAAACATATATTTTGATAATACATAAATGAAATAATAATGAAATATACAATACTCAAGAACTAATAAAAAAGAAATAAAAAGAATAAATGAATATAAAATTGATAAATAATAGAAGAAAGAAATAGAAAAACAACGAAAAACAAATAATATAAAAAGAATATAAATATATAAAAGAATAAAAAGAAAGTATAATAAAGAATATAAAAATAATAAATCACAAAGATGTAATAAAAGAAGAAAAGAATGAAAATGGTGTATTTTTATTGTAAAAATTAGAAATATTCAATAAAAGTGTCTAATTTAATGATGTAAAATAATTGGTATTGTTTTATTGTTGAAAAATTATTTTATTATTTTTTATGTTTATTATTTATATGTATAATTTCATCATGATGTTTATTATATATTCAAACATATGTGTTATGTTATTATAACATGTAATAAGTGATAAAATATAAATTGTATGAACATATGATATGAATATAGAATATAAAACAAAAGAATAATAAGAATAAATGATAAATAAAACGAGAAATGATAATCAATGATATAATAATTAATATTAATATAAAAGATAAATTTAATATTAATATAAAACAAAAGAGAATAAATATAAAATGAAAATAGATATAAATGATAATAATATAAAAATGATAAAGATGAATAAAAAAATAATAAAATACATTTAAATATAAAAGAATAACAATAAGAAAATCTAAAGAATATAAATAGAAAAAACATAAAATAAGAAGAATATAATAATATAATAATATATAGATAATAAGAAGAATACAATGATATAAATAATATAAACAGAGAAATAAAAAATATAAAAATACGATAGATAAATAACATATAAATAAAAGAATAAAAAGAATAAAAATAATTAAATATGATTCATCAAATAATCTATTTCATTAATATTTCATACAAAATGAATATAAATGATTATAAAATATAAACATAAATATATACAGATTGTATTTTTATCATACTTTTTATTTTTTTATTTTTATTTAGGAGTAAAATATAATAAATGGAAAATTCTAATTATGCAAATTTTTTTGCATCTTTTTTCTTTTTTGTAAATTATTTAGATGCATTTTTCTTTGCTAATTTTCGTACCCAATAGAAACAAAACAAATATCATAAAACTGGATTAACTACATTATAAACATCGAATATGAATGTTAATAAATTTAATAAATTGTTGAATATAATATTTAAAGAATAATTTAATAAAATACACAACATCATTATTTATTTAAATAATTTAAAATTATTTTCTATAATTTATAACATTAAACAGATAATAAAATAAAATTGTATATTCAATAATGATATAAAAATATTAATTGTTGTTTATTTTTATTCAATAAGATATGACATTTAATGTGAAAAATAATTAAAAAATATTGAATTAAGTATTAATAGAATTAATTTTTATTATTCTTTATTCATCAAAGACTAGTCTTATTCTATAAGTCTTCTTCTACAAACTTTACATATTATTTTTAGTTAGTATACATTTGTTTAATAATATTCATCATATTTTTAATATCATTGTTTTAACTCCTTTTATATTGTCAATTTCATTTTTTAATTCTTTATTTAATTTAATACTATTGTATTTATTATTCATTTGTTTTAATTTATTATTCTATTTATTTTCTTATTTCTTTTATTTCTCTTTTCTTTACATTTTATTTCTTTTCTTCATTTATTTCCATTCTTATTGTGATATAAATCGTTATTCAAATCATTTATTAGACTTAATTTTATTATTCGTATTTGTTACTAATATTTTATCTTTGTCTTTTGTGGTATTGTCATTTAATTTTTGGCATTATTTGTTTGTTCCATATCATATTGATATGTTTATATTTGAACATTGCTTCATATGATATTCTTTTATTGTTTATTTCCTGTATATTTTCTTATTAATCAATAGGAGAATATCAAAATGAGAAATTTAAAATTTATAAAAAAAAAGAAAAAATCCCCAATTATTTTTAATAACCACTTCAATGAATAAAGTAAGTCAATCTCTTAGTTTGTATTACCGTTTGTTGTTAATAATGTTATTTTTATTTTTCACAGTGAAACAAACTAATATTGTTGTAGAAAAGTTTTTTCCAAGTAAATTGTTTTATCAATGGGTTACTAGAAATGGAAAGTATAGTCAAACAAGAGAACTTGCTGCCTTTAAAACTAACTCATTTTTTAATAGATATTTACACTTTAATTCTTCATATGACTTATCAAATTACTTAAGTCGTTACGTTCCAGAAAGAATTGAAATTGGACCAATATTTGATCATTTATTATTTAATAAGACTAACACAGCAACAATGAGAGAGTTTGTTATTGATATTGATATAGATGATTATGATGATATTCGATATTGCTGTTCTTCAACCCAAGTATGTAAAAAGTGTTGGATATTAATGTCATGTGCTGCAAAAGTCATTCACCACATTTTCCAGGAACAATTTGGAATGAAACATATTCTTAATGTTTTTAGTGGAAGAAGAGGAATACATTTCTGGATTTGTGATGAACAAGCATTACATTTCAATGAGCAAATGAGAACATATATTACAAAATATTTCAGTCTATTTACTAATCAATGCACTAATAAAGATAACCATCCAATCATTGATATTCATGAAGAATATCCTTTATACAATGAAGTTTATCAAATATTAGAACCATATTTTGAAGATTATTGTGAAAAACAAGAAATCTTCAAAATTGAACAAAGAAAAGAACAGTTATTGAATTTATTACCTCAAAATGAAACTAGTCAAGTTATTAGAAAGTTCAATAATCTCAGTTGGACTTTATTGAAAGAACATTTTGTTTGAAATTCTTTATTCTTCATAATATTCTCTTTCATAAAACAATAAATAATAGAATAGAAAAATAATAAAACGACATTAATGAGCATTGTTTTTACCTACCTTTATCCTCGTATTGATACCAATGTTTCAGTTCAATTAAACCATCTCCTTAAAGCTCCATTTTGTATTCATCCATCAACAAATAAGGTATGTATTCCAATTAATTTTAATACAATTGATTCTTTTGACCCAAACAAAGTACCAACTCTTCAATCTCTTCAAGAGTCAAAACTATTATCTTTTTATTCCTTTAATGATTCAATAGAATTATTTTCAAGATTTGTAAAAGAGTCAATTCAATAAAGTTGTTTTTGTTAATTCTTTCAACGTAAAAAGATGAAAAAGAATGAATGAAATTATGAGAAGTTTTTTTAATGTAACTCTAATGCAATTAATTGTGATGTAATAAATGTGTCATTTCCAGCAAATACTGTGGAATTGTTTAATCCTTGATAATAACGATTGGCATAGGCACAAATAATTGATTGTTTAGTTGGGTCATTAATTTTAAACGCACAACTAACTTCATAGGTTGGTTGATTGCCATTAAAGAAAGACCCAGAGTCAATATTCTTAAATATTTTTAATCCATTTGAAAGTGCAAATATAAAAGCTTTTGAATCAATAACCACTTGAAAAGAAGAGAGTGATGGAATGTTTGAATGATAAGCACCAAATATATAGTTATCATTAGTAATGATGAGTGTCAATATATTTTGTTTACCAACAACAGATGCATTAAAAGCACTTTTATTGAATCCATTTATTTTTGAGTCATAAACTACATTAAAAGAAGAAAATCCAGTTGCTTCTAATAATTCTTTTCCATAACCAAAAATGTCATTTTCTTTTAATAAGTGTTCTGTAGGAATAAGATTTAATTGAGTTGATGTCATTTGATAAAACAAGAATGAAATTTCCCATTAATTTTAGTAGATTTAAATACTAGAACAAGTTGTTCTACAAATTCTGATTAATTCTAACTTCTTCTGAGTATTCTTTGGTTTAATGGTTCTTTCGTTGTATATTCAATTGAAATTCATTTGTTATTCTAATTTTCAAATAAAACTGAATTAAATTTCATAAAAACATTCATTTAATTCAACATTTTCGTCAATGGTTATTCTTCTTATTCCTTCTTCCCTTTATTCTTTTTGTTCCATTTTGGAATAAGAATTAGTACTTACACTTTCTTTTTCTTCTTCACTTGGAAATAAACTTCCTTCTCCATAACCATATCCTCTTTGTGGGATATTCTTTATAACAGAATTAAATTGAGAAATAAAAGACCTAGAAACACCACGTTCAATACCAACACTTTCTTGAATAGAACTTAGTACATCATTATAATTCTCTATTTCACTGTTTAATAAAATGTCATATCCTCTTTCTTCAAAAAGTCCATGTGCTTGATCCATTTGTTGTCTGTCAAAAGAAGTACGTTGTGTATATAGTGAATTTTTAGCAGAGTAAATGAATGCTCTATTTTGAATTAATGAATAAACCATTGCTTGACCTTGTTTATTATGTAATTCTGTTGGTAAGGGAAAGAGTTTGATTGCCATAGAATATGGAAGACGAATAGGAATTGGTGATTTGTCTTTTGGTTGTGTCATATAAACAGTATATAAAATAAAAAGAATAATTAACTTCTGATTAAGTTGTTTGCATGAGTCAAATATTTCTAAACATGTTTCATAGAATGTATTAAAAATACTCTCAACTTTATCATTTGTTAATGATTCTAATAATAATTCTTTGTTCATACCTAATTCTCTCCATATTTCTTTAAATGACTGATAAGAAATATGTTCTAATGCTTCATTCTATAATTTTAGTATGTAAATAAATAAAATTACTATTTTAATAACAAACTGAAAACCTTTCTACTACTTTCATAATATCTGTATATATAGCGTTATGAGCAAGTTCCATATATTCCCTTGTATAAAAATTGTGGACTGTAACAGTTGGTTGATCTTTTTTTTTCTTTGGCTGAGACTCAATATCAATAGATCCATCTATTTCTTCCTCTTTGATATTTGTATTAAAATTTGATTCTTTACCAGGAGTTAAATCAACAAATGGTAATTGATCTATATCAACACCATTTTCTTGATTATTTTCATTACCCTTTTCATTAGGATTTGTATCTTGCATTTGAAACGATTCAAGTTTTTTTCTTCTTTAAACTATAATTATAATAAAAATTATAATAATTAATAATACAATGGAAATGATAAAGGATTAATGATAACAATCTTCAGTTTGAATGAAACAAAAGGAAAAGAAATTAAGGCAATTGGTTGTTTTACTTATGAATTAACTGTTAATTTCAATAAACTGATTTAATTAGTGTATATTCAAGTTTAAATCCATTTTTATTCATCGTCAAAAAATAATTTTCTAATTTATTTTTATTACAATAATTACTAAATAAAATTTTTGATAACTAATTTGAAAAAAAGAAGAGTTTATTTGTATGAAAAAACCCCTTTTTTGTATTAAACTTTTATTTTCATTTAATGATTGCTATTCTCTTCACCTTCTATTTTTCATGTTTTGGTAAAATTCTTATTTGTGGTGAAACAGTAGTGAGAGAAGATCAAAGCATCACTTATGTGAACTTTAAACAATACCAATATGATACTTGTATGAATGAAAATGGTCAATATTTGAAAGTAAATAAAAACAATAATATCTATGAAATACAATATTATGATAAAGATTGTAATGTTCAACAAGGAGATTCTGCTGAATTAAGCAATTGTACTGAAGTTGATCAATTACCTGATTATAATATCACAATAAGTTTATTCAGTCAAACAGAAGAATGTAATGAATTAGAAACGTCTGTCAAACAATATATATTGTTAGATACATGTCATAACAAAACTAAATATATAAGAGATGGTACTACTGTCAGTTGGAAACGGTATGTTGATGATGATTGTACTGTAAATAATCCAGTATTTATATCTTATAAAATAAAGTGTAATATATGTAATACTAACAATCAATTTACTAATGGAAAGGCAATGGTAAAATGTGTGTTGCCTGAAAATGAATATATATGTGGTAAAAAGAATATAAATAATGAACGACAGGTATTTACAACATTTACAACAGGTCTATGTGTTAGAAATGGAGAGTCATCATCATACAAATATTATAATGAAATAGATAATGATGCTATTGTTATTAAATTAAATTCTTATAGTGATTCATCTGATTGTTCAACTGTCCCAACTACAACTAAACCAAACATAGAGGATTGTGAAATTGGTTCGCTTAATGAATATGATGGTTATTTAATTGCTCAAATGGAAAATGAATGTAGTGATGATCAATATTCAGAAAAATATTATTTTAAAACTGGTGTATGTTTAGATAAGCAAAGATATGAAAATACAAAAGATGGATTTAATGTTATTACATACAATGAAGATACCTGTGAAACTATCAATAAAAAAACTACTTTTAAATGTATGTCATGTGATGAAACTAATAAACAAGTTATTCATTGTGAAGAAGTTAAACAAGTCTTTTGCTCACATAAAAATTCAAATAACCAAGTAAATGAAGTAGAACCATTTTGGGTTAATGCCTGTAACCCATCATCAAATAGGTTTTATGAAAAAGTTATTTTAAAAGATCAAAAATATAATGTATATCGTTATAGTTCAATGTATTGCAATGGAACAAAATTCCTTTTCAATACTTTTAAAGAAGAGGAATGTCTTTCTTCTTATACCCCATTAAAAGATGTAACAAAAAAATATTGTCTTAATAATATTTGCAAAGAAGGAACAAAGGACATTGATATTATAACTGATATTTGTGTAAATAAACAAAAATATTCTAGAGGGAATGATAAAATTGTTTTAACCAGATATACAGATGAAGATTGTACTATTATTGCTAACACAAATCAATATCCAAATGGAAATGTTTCTCTTAGTGGAATAGACTTAGTAATTTTCAGTTATACAAGAGGAAATAAAATGTATTGTGGTAAAAGGGATAATGAAGGAAATGCAGGATATACCATTATGTATTATTTAAATGAATGTATAAGAAGAGATAATAATACTTTTATAAAAATGGAATTAAACAATAAATACCAAATTACTCAATATGATGATAGTGGATGTACATTACCTAATTCTAAAAAACAAATTGAAACTTTTGAAACTACTGAATGTACTGATACAATTGACAATATCATTGCTACAGAATATTCATTATTAAATAGTCAATGTGATAGTATTACAAGTGAAGAAATTAAATTGTATCATAGTGATATTTGTATTGATTCAATTAAGTATCAATGGGATAAAGGTAATTTAATAAGAGAGAAATATAATGATAATTTATGTCAAGGAAAGATTAAAGAAAGTATCGAATTAGAATGTGATAAATGTCATATTAATAATCAATCTCCTGATATTCCAAATAGTATAATTAATTGCACAACAGTTATACATAATGATGAACTGGTTATTTGTGGAATAAGAAATAGAGATACGTCAGCTGTTTCATCTTTTTATCAATACAATTTAAATAGATGCTATAAAACGTCTAAAAATACATCATTGATGGTTTTTAAAATATCTAATCAAAATCATTATACAATAAGAACATTTTCTTCTTCAAGTAATTGCAAAGGAGGAAATTTTAATGATAGACTATTATCTAATGTTGAATGTAAAAATGAAGAACCAGCATTATCAACTGCATTTATTTATTATGACTCAACAAATAAAAAATGTTCAAATTATGAAAAAGGAATTCTTGTAAAAAATATAGTATTTGCAACTTGTGCAGAAAGAAAAAAATATTTTATTGGAGATAATGAACTTCAAGAATTTATTTATACAAATGATGAATGTCAAGGTACTTATATTCAAAATAATTATCAATGTAATGAATGTTCATCATATCTAGAAGGAAGTATATATGTTCATTGTTCATATGTTTCGAATAATGCAATAAACATCTTTAGTTACTTTTTAGTATTATTATTTATAATGTTGATTTGATTTTTTTTTAAATTGAACTTCTTTGATTACAAAACATATTTAATTTACTTCTTTATTTAATAATCTTTTTTCTTGTTCCTGAATTCTTAATAACTTACCTTTTTGTCTTCTTCCACGACCAAATTTCATTGAAATTGAAGTAGCTTCTATTACATCAACTTTCTTTTTTAATATATTAGTTTCTTCTTTCTTAGGTTTCTTTTCTGCATCTTTATTTGTACTGTATTTATCAAACTCTTCTTTTGACTGTACAAATTGAACATCATTATGATCTTCAATTTTTCCTGCATAGACATCATCTAATTTTTGATTTTCTGTAACTCTGCTTGCTCCAATTCCTTTACCTGTTTTATTTGCTTTAATTTCTATTGACGTAATTCCATCCTCATTTTTTCCTAACCCTTTACCTCTTTTCCATCCAGTAGCCTCAAGTTGGCTAACAAACAAAGAGAACATTGGGTCATTTAAATCCATGAACTAAACAATTCTCAGTGTATTTTTGATAATACGTAACATTAGGGTTTTATAAAAATCTTTAAAGCAGATAAACAATAGTAATTCAAACAGATGAAAGAATGTGAATAATAAACTATAATGAACTATTAATAAATTATAATTAATAAAAAAATATAAAAAAACTGTAAAAGGAAAAAGAGTTTATTTATTACTTAATAAAAGATATGAATCATTTTCATTATTATCATATTCTATCATATATCGAAGATTATCATGACATCACCACATTTATTTGTATTAACCATCGTTGTCAACAATCTGTATCTACACTTCCTTACTATCATTATAAACAACCACATCCACAAATGATATTTCCTTCTTTAGTTAATGTTGCATTTGATTTTCCAATAAGTACTTTATTTCTACAAGAATTAACTTATAAAGCATCTAACTTGTTTTCATTATCATTTGTTATTAATAAAATTAATATCAAACCTTTTATATCTACTGATAAAACACTTCAAATTTTCCAAACAAAGTTATTAAATCAACTTAAAGGTATTAACATTAGTTTAAAAATTAATTCAAATACAAATTTATTTCTTGCTAAAAGTATATTGAAATTTACATCTCTTTCATTTACATATGATTCTTCAATTAATTTAACAACAATTAATTCAAACATTAAAGAATTAGATATTACATTAAACCAATATACTCCAATTATTCCATTCCAATCATTTTTAAATAAGTTTCTTCTCAAAAAATTAATTATTAGAATTGAGTATGAGTGTCAATGGAATTTTATTCGTTCATTAGCTAAATTAGTAAAATCTATTAATGCCACTGGATTAATTTATGTATCAAACAAAGTTATTTATGAATCTGGTGAAATTGATGATTTACTTATTAATATCCCACAAAATATATGCATTATATTTAATGATGGTTATATTGGGTGTAATGGATTTTCTGGTAGATTTGGAAAGTATGAAGAAGATAATATTATTCAAAGAGATGGAGATAGTTCAGTTATTATTCCTATTCCATTACCAGAAATAACTCTTGACCATACTTCTTATACAACTCAATTAAAAACAATAGACTTATCTCAAAAAACGTGGATATCATCAGTAGAAACGTCATACAATTTGAATTATATTAAATTACCAACTTCTATCATTTCATTAAAATTATATAATCCTCCTTCATCTTTACCAATGAATTTAGTTCAATTACATATGGAAAATATAAATAATTCAATGGTAAATTTATCATGTGCTGCTTTTAATAAATTGATATTAAAAAAATGTAATATTGAAACATTACAAGTACCATCTACATTAACATTTTTTTCAAGTACTTATAATACTTTCTTAAAAGTAGGATTAAACTGTCAAATGAAAGAAGCTAATTTTAATTCATGTCAATTACCAATGTTATTAATTCCAACTACATGTACTTATTTAAATGTTTATTGTTCTCGTTTACCATTTGTTCAATTAACTTGTTTAAAACAATTACAAGTTTATAACTCTGATTTCTCTAAATTAGCAACAACAACTCGTTTATCACAATTAACTGGATTAACGTTTATATCGAAAACTGAACCTGAATTTACTTCTTTAAATGAACTTCCAATTCTTAAATATTCAAATGCAT